CCAAGTAGCATCCGAGAAAAAATCGCCGATTTTAAGGTTTAAAAGGAGCAATAATCTAGAATTTATCCGGATTTTTATAAGGACATTTGGAGCAATTATCCTGGATTTGAAGAATATTGTTCAAGGACCATCGGAGCAATAATCACGAATTTTTAAGTAATATTTTTTCAAAGACCATCGGAGCAATAGTCGTGTATTTTTAAGTACTACTTTAAAAGAACCAAGAATTTTATTAAAAATTAATTTTTTCCAAGTACCATCCGAGTAAAAATCCTCGATTTTAGGGTTTAAAAGGAGCAATTATCCTGAATTTGAAGAATGTTCTTCAAGGACCATCGGAGCAACAGTCGTGGATTTTAAAGTAGTACTTTTAAAGGCCCCAAAGAGCAATAATCGTGGATTTTTACAGATTTTTTTAGAAATAATTTTAAAAATAGTCAGAGCTATAGATTACTACAGATTATCAGGGCTATAATCGGGTAATTTTATCAGATCCCTAATCGGAATATTTTTTTCTGAATCAGCAGATCAATGATCGAGAATTTTTAAGAGTATTATCAGGGCTATAATCTACAGGGAGAAAATACTACAACCAACTTCAGACCGCCGTCATTTCTAAGCCACTCGTCCGACAGCTGTTAAAATCATTCCAGTGACAGCTCATTATATTGTTTACAAGCGTACAAAAGCATTTTGGTGAGAATTTTCCAGAAAAAAAGTTATTCGTGATGGAATTCAAGCGGGATAGTGTGATTTTCTTATATTTGGCTGGAAAACCACAAGTGGCTATCGTTAGAGCACTCCAGCATTTAAATGTGAATAAGTCTTTTGTGTCTCGTACCATCGCTCGTTACCGTGATACTGGTAGCGTTGCCCGACGTCAAGGAAGTGGACGAAAGAAAACAGCAACATCAGCAGAAATGGTTCGAAAAGTAAAGAAGCGACTTGATCGAAACCCGCGTCGCAGTGGCCGAAAAATTCGGCAAATATTGAAAAATGTGATCGGGGTAAAGCCACTGGAATTCCAAAAAGTGCAAGAACTTATACCGCAACAGAAAGAAAATAGACTCAAAAGAGCAAAAGAGTTGCTTAGATTGGACGAAAGTGGTGACCTGCCAAATTGGTTTTCTCGGATGAGAAAACATTCGTTGTCCAGCAGTTTTTAAACAAACAAAATGCTCGTGTTTACTTGCCAAAGAGGTCAGCTGAAAATGTGCACCTTCGGTTGGCCACCAGAACTCAAATGAAGGCCATGGTGATGATGGTGTGGGCCGCCATAACAGCCGATGGTCGCTCTCCGCTCGTATTAATCGACCGTGACATTAGAATAAATGCCGAATATTCTCGCGAAAATATTCTGGAGGGTGTATTAAAGCCTTAGGCACGCAAACATTTTGGCCGCAGACCTTGGAAATTCCAATAGGATTCAGCACCATAGCACTCAGCACGCGCCACCCAAGAACGGTTACAAAATGAGTTTCCTCGCTTCATTTCCAGCGAACAATTGCCACCAAAATCTCCGGATTCCAATCCGTTGGACTATTGTGTCTGCAGTATTTTGGAGCTATACGAAAGCGTGAACCTGCACAGACGATTTTCTGTCTTTAGCTGTAGTATCCATTACGAACTTCAAATACCAAATTTGAAACAATTCCGGTGAATAATGTCGCTAAAATCATTAAAGTGCCGAATATCGGGAGGTACCGTTATATGGGGGCTATACGAAGACGTGGACCTGCAAATAAAAATGTTTGTCATAGGCTGTAGTACCAATTAGGAAATTTAAATATGAAATTTGAAATTATTTCGGTAAATAATGTCGCTGAAATCATGAAAATACCAAATATCGGGAGGTATCGTTATGTTGGGGCACAATGGGCACCAAAATCTCCCGATACCAATCCGTTGGACTATTGTGTCTAGAGTATTTTGGAAAGCAAGGTTGGCACTAAAAAATACCAAAGTGTCGATCACCTCAAGCAAGCGCTTCGACGGGAATGGACCAAAATACCGTAGAGTAACATTCGGGCAGCGTGTGACAGGTATATTGGCTGTTTGAAGGCCATAATTCATGCCAAAGGTGACCAATTCGAACAAATCTAAACTTATTCTAAAATTTGATGCTATTTCCGACATTTTTTGCTTTCATTCAATAAATTTAAAAAAACAATGTAAAAATTATGGCTTTTGACTTTGTTGCTGTTTGTAGAGAGATATTCCCTTAAAAAGTATTGTTAAAAAAATTCACTCTCTTGGACTCTTTAAAATGTATTTTGTAAAATTCAACGATTTATTCCAAGCCAAAAAACGAAAACTATTCCCTAAAAAAATCCTCCATAACCAAAAGACTTTTAAATTCCCCTGATACATATATTTTAATTTTTCTCTGAGTGTATCAATTCCCTATGTTGCACCACCACCGCCACAAGGGGTGTGCGTTTTTTTATTGGTTCGTGCCGGCGATTATTCAATTTGTATAGATGTGCTAGAGGTTTGTATGTGAATTATTTATTTGTTTTATTTTTCATCACATAATTTATTTGCATTTAGTATTGGTTTTGGCTGTCTTCCAAAATTATTACCTAAAGCTATACCTTTTTGTTTTTATTTCCTATACATACATACAGACACATTTTCTTTTTTGAAAGAAAAAAAATTAGAACACACTCATGACACACATTATGTGCTAAAACACAAGCTGGCGGAAATGTTTTTTTTTTGCAACAATGTTACTGAAATCAATTAATTATGAATTTTAAACATGTTTTCATTTTTCACATTTTCTTAAATTAATAAATAAAAAAAATGTCAAAGAAATTTTTTTTTAAGAAAATGGACCAAAAAACTGTTAAAGTAGATTTTTAGAGAACATATCAATAATTGCAGATTTTTTTTTTAATATTTTTCAAGGATCAATAATGTTGGATTTTAGAAGAATACCTTTTGCATGGACCCACAAACAAATTCCATCGATTTTCAGCCAAATACTTAATAGTGGATTTTTTTTGAGAATTAACAGACCAATAGCACTATGCGGCAAAATTCAATAATTATGGGGAAAATCTAGCAGATTATGAAAGTAGAGTTACAAAAAAGGAGATTTCTGAAGTTAAAATCTTCAAAGCGAATCAAAAAAGTTAACAAGTTAAAAAGCAGTAAGCTCGGCCGGGCCCTCCACCATTTGGAACGAATTTAGAAATTTCAAAAAATAAAATCCTTAAAAAGTGCTTTTAAAATTAAAAAATCCGAATATTGCCGTTATATCGGGGTCTTTACGACGTGGACCTACATAGTTATTGCTTGTCATAAGTAATTACCAGATTCAAATTCGAAACTTGAAATAAACGCTGAATAATGTAGCTAAAATCATCAAAATATCGTAGGTAGGGAGGTACCGTTATATCGGAGCTGTGCGAAGATCTGGACCAGCATAGACAATATTCTGTGATAGGCTGTAGCATCCATTACGAACTTAAAATACGACATCTCAAACAATTTCGGTGGGTATTGTACCTAAACTCGTCAAAATACCGAATATAGGGAGGTACTGGTATATGGGGGCCTATACGAAGACCTGGACCTGCATAGACAATTTTCCGTCACAGACTGAAGGAACTCTAAATAATTAATTTGAAACTATTCCGGTGAATAATGACGCTAAAATCATCAAAATACCGAATGTTGGGAGGTACTTATATATGGGGGCTATACGAAGACGTTGACCTGCACAGAAAATTTTGTTGACTTAGACATTTCGAATCTCAAATACCAAATTTGAAAAAATTCCGGTGAATAATGTCGCTAAAATCATCAAAATACCGAATATAGGGAGGTACGGTTATATGGGGGCTATACGAAGACGTTGACCTGCACAGACGATTTTCTGTCTTAGGCTGTAGTATCCATTTCTAACTTCAAATACCTAATTTGAAACAATTCCGGTGAATAATGTCGCTAAAATCATCAAAATACCGAATATTCGGAGGTACCGTTATATGGGGGCTATACGAAGACGTGGACCTGCAAAGACAATTTTCTGTCATCGGCTGTAGTATCCATTACGAATCTCAAATAACAAATTTGAAACAATTCCGTTAAATAATGACGCTAAAATCATCCAAATACCGAATTTTGGGAGCTACTGTTATATGGGGGCTATACGAAGACGTGGACCTGCACAGACAATTTTTGGTCATAGGCTGTATTATCCATTACGAATCTCAAATAACAAATTTGAAACAATTCTGGTGAATAATGTCGCTAAAATCATCAAAATACCGAATATCGGGAGGTACTTATATATGGGGGCTATACGAAGATGTGGACCTGCACAGACAATTTTCTGTCTTAGGCTGTAGTATCCATTTCGAACTTTAAATACCAAATTTGAAACAATTCGGATGAATAATGTCGCTAAAATCATCAAAATACCGAATATCGGGATATATACTTTGTTGGGTCTGACATGAGTATTTCGAGGAGTTACAAACGGAATGACAAAGTTAATATACCCTCCATAGTATGGTAAAGGGTATACAAAATATGTTATTTGACTTTGTGGCAGTTTTTTTTATTTTACCCTCTATTTGTCGGTAACCCAAAAAATGAATTAGAAAATGCCGCTACTGATCTAAAAGTTACCCACCAAACACATCACGATTTACTGTGGTGAATTCAATTGTGGAATTATTATCGAATTCCAGCACCTTTGAAATTAAACATCAACTGTTTGTTTGTTCACCGACTCACCACACTATACTTTACACACCATAACACACCACACCATAATTATGGTAATATAGTATCATCCCCTAAAGTATGCTTTATTTTTTATTTAAAATAATATTGCAATAACTGATAATAATTCACCTCCGGTTAAAAAAAATAAGTGTTTGCCTGAAAGTATACCCTAATTTTTTCCATCTTTGAATAGATTTCAATTCACCACCAGTTGTTTTCAATTACATTTATATTTTCCACCTTTTTTTCTTTTTCTTTAGGCGTTCCTGTGCGCTGCAACAGCAACACCATGTTCATGCATCACAAATTCTGCATTATCGATTCGCCGCAACGCAACGATGCCATTTTCAAAAAGCTCAACAAAACCACAAAACGTTGCCACACGCGTGGTCTGGTTCTGACCGGTTCTTTGAACTGGACCATGCAGGGTTTCGGCGGCAATTGGGAGAATATTTTAATTACCTCCAATGCCGAATATGTACGCAGTTATGCCGAGGAATTTGAACGTATGTGGAATGCATTCGATTTTGATTCGATGAAACCGGCAGCGGCCTCGGCAACAACAGCTGCAGCGTCAGCAACAGCAACAACAGTAACGCCAAAGTAAATTTTACCAGGAGTGCAGTAATATCTTCTCAGCGAATATTAATTACCTACCTCTAGGAAAGTAATCACATAGTGCAATGCAGAATTGTAAGCAGATTTAAATAAAAAATAAGGTGAGTTATTATTTAAATTTTTTACGAATTACGAATTTGGAAAAGACATTTTTGGAATATAAAAACACTCTAATTTTTTTAATTTTTTCCCAGAGGTAGATGTTTTTACCCTGCTCCTGGAAAAGTAGTTTTTCGTGGAAGACGGGTCCGGATACCTAGTTATTTGACCCCAAAAGTTCAATACCCGGGTTAGACCCACATCTACTAAACGTATATGGACAATATATGTATCATTTTAAAGCTAATGATAATACTTATCTAACACTACTATTATGGCTTTTTTTTAAACGATCCAAGGGTTTTATCTAAATTATCGATTCTTTTATAGCATTTTTCTGTTGTAATAACGCTATATTCAGAACGAATTGAGATAGAAGGCTAAACTTTTGCAGACGTGTGTATTTTGACAGTACTCAGTATAAGTTTATAAATGGGCCATGTAGGTCCACGTTTTTTGTATAGCCCCCCATATAACGGTACCTATTTTGATTATTTTAGCGACATTACTCACGGATTTTTTTTCATTTTCGTATAGATCCTGCAGCCTATGACCCCCATGTAACGGTATCTACCTTTATTCGGTATTTTGATGGTATTAGCGACATTATTCACCGGAATTGTTTCAAATTTCGTACTTGAAGATCTTAATGGGTAATACAGATTATGACACAAAAAAAATTATATATGCAAACCCATGTCTTCGTATAGCCCTTATATAACGGTATATAACCGGTATTCGGTATTAGAGACATTATAGAAGGGAATTATTTCAAACTTCGTATTTGTACGTGTAAAACTTGAAGAGAGAGAGAGAGCTCCCCTGTGGGGGAGCTACCAGAAGAAATTTTTCGATCTCTACCATCTTTATAACAGATCTTGTGTTGATGGAAATATTGAAATGAAATCGGATGTTGATTTCGCTTTTTATGACCTTCGTGGTATTGCACATTTGAGCCTTTGTGGGGGTGGTATCAAAAGCAGTGAACAGATATATCCCATTTTCATAGCAGATGTTGTTTTAGTAGAAATAATGGGATGTGTGAAAATGAAGAGAACCGGATGCTTATTTCGGATTTTACAAGCGTTTTGGGTTTTCAAAACTCTTTGACTCTTTGTGTCTTTATAACAGATCTTATGTTGATGGAAATATTGAGATGTTCCAAATCTGAACGGAACCGGATGTTAATTTCGCGTTTTTGAGCTTCATGGATATTCAAAATTTTGAACCTTTGTGGGGGAGGTACCAGAAGGAATGGACTGATATATTCCATCTTCACACCAGATCTTGTGTTAGCAGAAATACTGGGAAGTGTGTAATTTGAATAGAACCGGATGCTTATTTCTGATTTTATGATAGTTTTTGGTTATCCAAACATATTGACCCTTTGTGGGGGAGTTACCGGAAGGAGTGTACCGATATATTCAATCTTATCATCAGATCTTGGGTTTATAAAAATGTTGGGATGTGGGAAATTTTAAGACAATCGGATCCTTGCATCACATTTTATAGGAGTAATAATTATTCAAACTTTACCCTTTGTGGGGGAGGCACTTCATGGTGTGGACCGATGTCGTCCATTTTCACACCTGACCTAGCACTGACGCAAATATTAGGATTTGCAAAGTTGAGTCAAAATCGGTTTATTGCTTCTGTTTCTGTGCACAAAAAAATATATTTTTTGAAAATTTCGACCACTTGTGGGGGAGGTACCATTTTAACACCAGACCTTGGGTTAATATAAATATTGGGATGTGTGAAATTTGAAGACAATCGGACTCTTACATCACATTTTATGAGAGCTGTAAGTATTTAAAATTTTGATCCCTTGTGGGAGAGGTACCAGAAGGAGTTGGCCGATATTGTCCATATTCGCACTGATCCAAATGTTAAGATTTGCAAAGTTGGAGCAAAATCGGATTATCGTTCCTCTTTCTATAGAAAAAATATATTTTTTTTGAAAATTTCGATCTTTTGTGGGGGAAGTATCAGAAGGAGTGGGCCGATGTATTTCATCTTAACACCAGATCTTGGATTATTAAAAATATTGGGATGTGTGAAATTAGAAGACAATCGGACTCTTAAATCACATTTTATAAGAGCTGTAATTATTCAAAATGTTGACCCTTTGTGGGGGAGGTACTTGATGGAGTGGGCCGATATTGTCCATTTTCGCACCTGACATAGCACTAATATAAATACTAGGATTTGCAAACTTGGAGCAAACTCGGATTATCCGTTCTCTTTCTGCGCAGTAAATTATTTTCGTTGAAAAATTTTGACATTTCGTGGGGAAGGTACCAGAAGGGGCGGACCGATATTGCCCATCTCCGAAATCGATTTAAGTTTGATAATAATATTACGATGTGCCAAGTTTGAACCAAATTGGATACTCCCTTCAAGAGTTATCGTGCGTACCAGACAGACAGACAGACGGAAGGATGGTCATCACTAGATCGACTCCAAATTTCCTGAAACGGATTCGGTCCAAAGAGACCTAGGGTCTAAAATCGTTATATCGACGAGGCACGTTTTGACTGTATCAAATGATATATACCCTCTGTAGCCATATGGCTGAGGGCCTTTTTGAGTTGACGCCTGAAAGTAACGTTAAGTTTCGTTTTAGGCAAAAATTGTGAAAGGAAGAAATATTCTACACAAAATTTCACTATAAATCTCTGAATAGACCATATATCTAGGTTTTATAGTTTTTCAGAGAATTACATTTGAAATGTATCTAATACAAGGAAAAATTATGTGTTTGCGTTTATTTACTGCTAATTGAAGGCCTTTCGATTCTAAGTCAAAATCTCCCTATATAATTCGTTTTTGGGGGATGGTGACAAAGGACGAAATGTTCTAGATCAAATTTTATTGTCAGTCTGTGAAGAAAAGAAATTTGTATATATAATATGTACCACAGAAAAATATCATAGACTTTGGTCAATAAACAAGTAAAAGAGCTGTAAGTTCGTCTGGGCCGAAATTTGAATATCCTCCGCCATTTGGAACGAGTTTGGCAATTATCAAAAATAATAAAATCCGTTAAAAACTCTGTTAAAATTTTAAAAATGCCGAATGTAGCTGTTATATTAGGGTCTATAGGACGACATGGACCTGAATTGATAACATTTGTCATGAGCCATTACAATATTCAAATGCGAAACTTAAAAAAATCGGTAACAATGTAGCTAAAATCATCAAAATGCCGAATATGGGGAGGTACCGTTATATGGGGGCTATACGAAGACGTGGACCGGCAATGACAATTTTCTGTCTTAGGCTGTAGTATTCATTACGAACTTCAAATACCAAATGTGAAACAATTCTGGTGAATAATGTCGCTAAAATCATCAAAATACTGAACATCGGGAGGTACCGTTATATGGGGGCTATACTACGTAGCCCATACCAAAAGTCCTGCAGACGTACCATACATTTGAGTAAAATTTTTTCAATCTACTTCAATTCGTTCGGAAGCTAGATTAATTTCCACAGACGGACAGACGGACGGACATCGCTAAATCGACATAGAATTGTATGCTGATGAAGAATATATATACTTTGTGGGGTCTCAAATGTATATTTCTAGGTGTTACAAACGGAATGACAAACTTAATATACCCTCCATACTATGGTGGAGGGTATAAAAATATGTATTTTTATATTCTAAAAATGTTGCACTTTTCCAAACTTGCTGCACTAAATCATGCCGGTCTAATCGAAATGTTGTCCTTTTTCTTTCCAATTTTCTTTTTTTTCTGAAACATTCCACTGTCTTATGTCTGTATGTACTTAGGCGTAGGTGTGTGTATGTGTGTTAATTTGATACCATCCACCCAAAAAGGATCTAGGTATTTTACACATGTGTTCATGACATGTTCTTTGCAAGGGATTTTGTGGTACTTACAAGAGATTTCTATTTCTAGTTTTTTTGTTGTTGTCCTGGATTTTTTCTCATCCTTTTTCCTTCATTCATTTTGCCAGAGAGCAGCTATTTACATTACCACTGGTCCGTAAAAAAATTGTAACAGTCATAAAATGTCATGTCAAATTGTGTGTCAGTTGACAAAATACTTAAATTACTTCATAATTATGAAGTATTTAACATGTGTTTGTGTGTGGGTATGTGGAGATTTTAGATTTTCCAAATTGTTTTAAAGAACACAAAGAGGTAGACCCATTCAAAACTACTTATAAACATATTACGTAAAAGAGGTTGGAATTTTGAGTTTCTGAAATCAAATTAAACACGTTTGAGTGGCAAAGGGAAGGGAAGGGGAAGTCATTTTTGGAGCAGAAGAAAGCTGCGGGGGTGGGTGGTATTTTTAAATGGAACAAATAATTTTGCAGATTCTTGGCACAAAAAAAATATAAATAAATAAATAAAAATAACAAATCCAAGATTTTTGTAATAGAAAAATGCCCCAAAAAATATATTCCATAAAAATCGAATTTTTGGAGTCCTTGAAAAAAAATTAAAACAATCACTGTTATATTTCCCCAAGTGCCTCAAGATAATTAAGAAATTCGTGACTGTTGTTTTAAAGATGCTTCAAAAAAGCCCTAGGAAAATATGTCTTTTTTATACCCTCCGCCATATGGCTGAAGAGGGTACATATAATTTGTTACGGCCTAAACGTGCCTCATCGAAATAACGTTTTTCGACCCTAGGTCTCTTTGGACCAACTCCGTTTCAGGAAATTTGGAGTCGACCTAGCGATGTCCGTCCGTTCGTTGTCTGGCTGGTTGGTGCGCACGTTACTCTCAAAAGGGTGTATACGATTTGGTGAAACTTAGATCGAGTCCGGCGATAAGCAATATCGGTTCACTCCTTCTGGTACCTCCCCCAAAAAAGGTCGACATTTTCAGGAGAAAGTATAATCCGAT